AGGTATCCATGTCCCGGCGCGGCCGGTCTCCTAACCCCGAAATCCATCGCTCGCGATTAATTTCCATCGCGGTCCCCTGGGCGAATTTCAGGCTCGACGAGATCGCCTCTTCGTCGTCCGTCCGCACTCTTAATTAATAACCGAGGCAGCTGCCCTGACGCTGACGTCATTACCGACCTTTTTGCTCTCTCCCTCTCGCCACGCATCTTTTTTTCCGCCCACCACCCCTTCCTCCCTTTCTCTCCTCCTCCTCCCTCTCTCTCTCTCTCTCTCTCTCTCTCTCTCTCTCTCTCTCTCTCTCTCTCTCTCTCTCTCTCTGAGATATTGTCGATATACATCATCAGCACCACCAACTTGGAAACTCTTAATGAAGCTGTGCATCGGCCAGTCGCCACGTTGAAATCCGCCTTCGTAGACCGAGACGCGGAGACGGGATGATCGTTGTCGTCGAGACGAATGCAGCTCGCACCGTGAAATTCGCAAAACAAATGCCGCTCGTTGATGCTTCTGCCGGGCCGCTATCGGCCGCGGTAACCACGTTTCTCTTCAGGGTAAAGGAACTCGGCGGAGCGTCCGCTTGCCAACGCGTGGCTCTCGAACGCGAGAGCCGGTGGATGCGCAGTAATGGCGATAATGATGATGGTGATAGAGGCTTTATGGGTCTTCAGAAAAACTGACGGCGCGAAGTGCACGTGGAAACGTATGAAGCGTGGTTAAGCGAACCGATGTTGGATGCTCGGCTTGTTGCTAGGTTAAAACGATTGCTCGGTATCTAGGCGTGCGCGAGCGTAAGCTGCTACCGCGAACTATTATTAACGATTACAGGAAATATTTGTATCCTCCGCGGCGCTATAAAATCTATTCGTGCACTCGCAGGGATGTTAATGCGGTAATACGATAAATGGAGGGATAAAATTATAGCAAACGATAAAATTACAGTAATAACGGGCAAAAAAGTGTAAAAACCGGACGTGCTAATTTAAGAATAAAAAAAAAGATGGACATCAAAGACCGAATATTTCAGCAGAACGCATCGTGAAAGGCATCCGCAAACTGGCCGAGCGCCAGGGATATCTGCCATCTTCATTTGTGCGTTTTGTCGGTATCGCCGGGACGCGGCGAGGCATAAGCTTAGGCACGCCGGGGCTCGATAACGGATGGCCGGTCGTTACGGTAAATGTCTCACTCGGGGCCCCGAACGGCCGATGGAGACCACTGGGATAATGATATTATTACGGCCATCTTGATTCTCTCCTGGGCCACACTATCATCATACGTCACCCGTTGCGCGCGCGGTCGCGCTGAATCCACGCCGTATTACGGGCATATATTTCCTGGCGTGTCCCGGCGCGGGCAGTTGCTTTTTGCCGCGCGGTTACAAAGTATGATGATCCCGGCGCGGACGTGCCTGTTGATGAAATCGTCAGGACGCCGCACCTGATCGCGGCCCGACTTAATATCGACGAGGGGCCCGGTGCCAGAACCAAATGCTCGATTTCTTCGTACGAGATGAAGCAATTTGCGCCGCGGCCGCCAACGGTCTTCTTTCCGCCGTCGAAGCGCTGCCGCGACCGTGTCCGATCGTTCGGGACGAGCGTAATTGATTAGCTACTTAATTCGGAGATGAATTTCTACGGTATTCGCCGCCGCGCGCTACGTTTGATTATCCAGGAAACAGGGTGCTTGATAATAACGCGCGTCTAATGATCGGCGAGTGGACATCACGAAAAATAGCGATTTCTCGATACGTACAATATATTTACGATTATGCGGAGATCGCCATTTTTTGAGAAAAATCGCAAAAATAATATTAGATAGGAATTGTGATATGATACTACGTTTATATGTAAAATAATAATATCTCCGTCTATCAGACACAATTTGTATATAATGATTGACACAGGAAGTGTAAATGAACAGAAACATGTGAGAAAAGCAATTTTTGATTGTCAATGGATATGAGAGGTACGTGTCTAAGGAAATGACCGCGTAAGAGCCTGTTTTAATCTCATCACGTATGTAGACGCGCTCTCGTTCACGCAATCGGGCAATTTAACATCCCGAAAAAACACGAGGGGCTTCCTGAGAGAAAGAGAGAAAGAGAAAGAGTCCCCTTTCTCATGTAGCCTCAAATCCACGGATCAGAAGGCACGTGCCTTCCGCGCGCGTAATTATCCGCACGAAGTGCACGCGTCAAGGACTTGTCTATAACGCTCTTCACGTTCATACGCGAATGTGGGTCAGCCTGTTTATCAATCATTCCTTAATATAGCTCCCCTCCCCCCTTATCCGCCTTCTGCATTCTATTCGCCGAAGCTGCATGCGAGCATGCATTGATGAGTGCGTGAGCGCTTATTATCGGTATTATTAAATTTATATATGAACACCTCGGCCGCGCTAATAATACTTCCACGCTGCGCTTATTGTCTCGCACTCTACCGTGGTCGTAAAAAGATTTTATAGTGTGCATCATTATTGAGCAATATTATTAGAAGCATTTTGTACCTTGTGGATAAATCTATTACTTTAATAACGAAGCGAAAAATAATATTTTCTCGTATTATTTCTTACGTGTAAAATAATTTTATTATTTAAAATAATATAAATATTGTCTGTTTTCATTAATTCCATGTTTAGATTTACATCTATAATTTGTTTGTGATATACAGTTTGTAATGTTTAAAAACGTTAATTATAAAAATTATAAATGCCAACATTATACCATCTATCATTGTTGATTCAAAATAACGCAGTCTGAAATATAAGATGTCATGCGATTTAATGAATGATTATAAATAGCAATGACGGACAAGGCCGACTGAGAGTCGATCTAACAATATCCGCGAAATATATTTAACCAATTGGCGCATTGGTGCAGTGACGATGCGATTGATCAATTTTCATTGCGCGGTAATTGATACCGGCGTTCGTTATTAGTAATCATGCATGACGTAAGCTTCTTTCATCGCGCTACACTTTTAACGGCGGCATAGTCGGCGTACGCTTTTAGCACGCCGGGACAAAAGCCGAAGAAGCGACGAATTAACAAGCGCAGACTGCGGTTTGACCCCGTTGCCCATCGTAGAATCGGAATTTAAGAAGAGAACGCAGCGCGCCGAACAGAGACGGCACGAGAGAAGCGGATAGAGAGTTCTCGAAGAAGAGAGGAGGCGGACGTAGCTGGCCGTCAGCCTCAGCATCCTCTCTGATGAATTACTCTTCGCCGATCAGTAGTTCTCATCCGCTCGTTCTTTCGAGGACGTTCATTTTGTGTACTGTCAGGGGATACTTCGCTTCTATTGAGAATCTCTGCCTGTCGTTGATGAGGATTACCGGAGCTCTCTGATATTGTACTCCTCGTAGCGATTTCTCTCTCAGATTGTAGTTACTATCCCTCGTACATGTTGCGCGCGTTGTCTTTTTACGTTACAAAAATCGTTTAGACGTATTGATAATCGATACGCCGTGATACAGGGATTGATACGACTAAGAGGATTGGATTGAAAAAAGCTGTGTGACATTTGTTCGTTCTTCTATATATAGCATCTGTACATAAAATTTTACGTAAAATTTAATGCAAAATTAAATTGCTTTTCAGTTAGTAACATATTTTTTGCAGAGATTTAATTAAGATGTACAAAGTATCTTCCATTTTTTATTACGATACATAGATTACGTAAAAAATTTATTATTTTTTGTTACTAACATTATCTAAGGCGATACACGTGCGATTTTATAATCGCATATTCATTTTTAAATCACTTTGCCGGCTTATCTGTCGCAGACGTTTCGACAGATGTGCCGCAACTTGCTTATCTCTAAAATTACCTTTATTACTTCGGACCTTTGAGTCATTTTAGATCTTAATACATTCCGCAGCCTAAACAAACGACCCATCGATAAAGTAATAAACATAGATTAGCCTAACTTCCGTTTCTGCGCGTAATGTTTCCTTTAATAAAATCTTCCGACAATAAGATATACCTTGAGCTCTTGGAACGATGATTCAGCTCATGAATTCAGTTCTCGTACACAGCTCTGACGAGCAAGACCCATTAGCAATAATAAGGACTTTTCACGAAAGTATCCCGAATTATTTGAAATTATTCATTACGTGGCTTCCCGCACGTAACACGTTTCGACAGATCGAAACAGCATACACAGCGGTCGTCTGCTCTCAGAGAGCGAATTCCCGATCAGGATCACCGGAGATGTCAGTCATTCTTTTGTTCTCCGATACCGCGCCTTTCCTATATCCTGTTTCAGAGTTTCTCGTGTAAGTTCTCGCCATCGTCATCGTCGTTGACGGATGATGGCGTATAATGGGTCGCGCACAGCGCACCCGACTCGGATAGTGCGCGCATTGGAGAGGAACTTACCGATTAACTCATCTACCGTGGGCATTGTTGCCCTCAATGAGAGGACACCGGTCGTGTTTATTATGGGTATCGCGTTATTATACTAATCTGGTCGCCTTTGTGCGGCGATATAAGTTTTCCGGTAGCCGACTTGCGTGTCGAGCTACCGAACTACATACTGTCGGCGGCAACATTTACGGAGGTAATTTTCTGAGCCGGCTCCATTCGACTGATTTGCGAGTTGGAATTTGTTGCGAGTGTTGGTTGCAAGAGGTCATATTCATTTAATAGAATAGTTTGGATTAATGGAGTTAGTTGTACTAATAATTCGCTTTTTGCTATAATGCATGTAATTTGTTAATGATGTCTGGCTTATGATTCGTGGCATTATATCAGCGTAGATTAATAACGTGACAACGCACTAGGCTTTTTGATATATTGCACTACATCTACGTAATATTATTTCTTGCATGATTGTTACGATTGTTGTTGCTCAGCATCTGCGACAACACGCGATAAAAAGATACGCAAAAGCTTAATGACGCTCGTAAGTGTCGTAATTACGCGATGTCAAGCAAATTTCGACATGTGCTTTCCACTGCAAATTAGAAAGTAATCCGTGCTTTCTGGTGCAAATTGCAGATAATCGACGCGATCAATCTACGATGGATATCGCGAAAGTCGAGGTGTCATTAAGAAGATTTTAATCTGCGCTATTAATGTCGCGTTAAGGGACAAGGAATAAAAGAGTCAAGATGGATCATCGCGGATCTCATTGAGCCTTCTGAGGAACACCGTCGCTTCTTTGCGGTAAGTACTTCGCCAAAATGGCTTTATTTACGTGGCATAACACGCTCGTAATTAATATACTGATGGCACGCGATGCAATTACTATACTGACGGCAGGAGTTTAACGCTTTGAACAAAGATCTATGAATAACAAAGAACGCGCGCAATTAACGATGTGTCAGCGTAAGACATTATTAAAATTTATGAATATTTGACATAATGATACAAATTAACCGTAACATGATCGAGGAAACATGAATAATTACGAAATATCTATATGATAAACCTTATTAACAATTAATACTGCGTACAACATACAAATTGCGCAAGGATTTTTGATTATATATAGCTACCTATAAATCATTACTGTAATGTTTTATTTTTCGGTAAATCTTTTATTAATTAGCTTCGCGATGTTTAGTATAAAAACATTTGAATATCGTGTAAGAACGCGCAGCTATTTTTCGAACCTCAGAGCAATGATTCTACTTGAAGAATCTCGTGAGCTACTTCGATCCCGTGAGCGTACAAACATCCTTCTCCGCCGGCGGTGTGTAAGAGAGATAGAGTTGCGCGGTATATACTCCTGCCGGATAAGTATCAAGTATACAGGTCGGGCAGATATAGTCGACCAGTATCGACCGGGTAGCCAAGTTCAACAGCCAATCCCCGGCTGCGCATTAAAACCACGCCCTTTATTTCGCGGTTGCATTAGCCACATCTCGCGGTCTGTATTTAAGTCAAGATGGAATACTTAGTTTCTTCCACCTTCATTCGCGAGGGGAGAGAATCGTGAGACGACGCTGTCGTTCTTCGGGCGCTGCGAGTTGAAAGCAGAGTGACGGCTTTTACATTATTTGCCGCTGCAGCATCATTGAATTAATGCGCTTCTTAAATTATTCTTACGGTACAATAACGACCAAAGTGATTAGCATTCGCATCGGTTGACGTAAAAGGGATGGATTGCCACTAATTATTGCTGCTTTGCTTATAGAATTGTATAAGATAAATATTAGAATCTTTTAGAGAATTAATATTCTTATTCTTTTGAATTTATTACATTTTGAACGAAATATATTGGAGTTTCCTCATTAACGATTTCACGTCGCAAAATCTCGCGTTTGGCAAACAACTCATACAAAATGCCGCTATTATGCGAAATTTGGATAATCGCGGCGAGAAATTAGCGGTGTTGATTATTGTATAGACTGCGAGCCGGTTATTCATGGGAATTCGATGAGAACGAGCCCCGCAGCAATAATATACAAACATCGGAGCGGCTCGCTGACGATTAATTGAATTCATTTGATCGTAACGAGGAGGAATAATTACCTATGACGCGCCCGTATACTAGTATTACAAATCATTTGAGAAAGTATCGTTAAAAGCAGCGGCAATCGTAGCAGCCTCTGATGTGCGCAGCTTACAAAATCGTCTTTATTAGAATTAATATCACTTAATATAGTATAATTATTATCAATTAATCACAAACGAAATAGAAAATATTTTTATGGAATATTTTCATGTTATTTATATGTAGGTACATTATTCAATACTTTGATTTTTATTTTTCATAAAGATCTTATATGAAAGAAATCAGGACCAAAACGAATAAATATTCCCGAGTATATGATTGTCGTGAAAATTCATTCAATGTATATTAGTTTATATCGAATGTTTTTTTGGCGACGTAAACAAATATGTTGTATATTCCTATCTCGAAATACTTGCGCGGTATCGCATTATAGATTGCCAAATTTACAACCACCAACGAATCCGCATTTACATAAGTAAGGAATTTAGTTTGCGTCGGTAAAAGCAGGGCAAGGGTAGCTGAAGTCTCAGGACTCCGTAAAGGATATCGGGTAGTGGATGGAAGGTGTACGTCGGAGTAACGGGTCGAACGAAGGAACAGAAAGCTCTCGTTAATGAGCTTCCTCACCCTCAAAGCTTTGAAAGCCGGTTACACTCGTCTCACTCGCCCCGGCGAAGCGAGAGAGCCGTTCAATTCAAAGCTTCCAGGAAATTATACGTCTGTTACCGTTCTATCGCGAGCAAAGGCTCAAACCCGGGGCCTAATAGCGGCAATATCGTATTTTAATCTCGGCTCAAGGAAGTGCATTTGTCATTCCCGCGCCGTACAAAGGCTCCTCGTTTTAGAAACTGCAATCACCCGGCGAAATTATTCGCGCGCGGCCACCTCTCGCGTAGATTGAAATTTGCTGAATCAAAAATAGGCATAATCCCTCTGGCGCGGGGATATCTCGGAAAAATCGCTCCATCAAGATTATTCTTACTCTTGAGCCGCGACTGTGTAATTTTCTCGCCGAGCACTCGCGATAATATTTAACATATCTGATAATATGCAATAGTTCTTGCAATAATCAGCAGTTCTTCGTTCGATGATAAAATATCCTGCCTTGCAGCACGATTCTTAAAATATGAAACTGGGTTAATACGGTAACCTTGCTATAAAATCTTTCTTAACTGCTTCTGCATTTAACTAAGTAATATATTGCTATACATTCTTATTTTGCCTTAATGCAAAATTTATTTTCCGCCAAACTTATTATCATTTGTCTGATCTTGCATTATTAACGTGCGAAATGAGTTACTGACGGTACACAATCAGTCTGTCTTAGCTCGCTTTCGCGCGACAAGCCCTAAAGTTCTATGACACTTCGGTGTCTTCTTACCGTCGCTTGTATCATGACGTGCGGAGTTTCGATTTTCCATCGCGGAAAACGCGAGCATTTACGAGAGCCATCTGGCCGGGACGGCACTCCGCGCAAAGTATTTTCCATCGGTGTGGTAGAGTTTGGACTTTGTCGCAATGCCGTCACGGCAATTTCTCCGGGGACGGTTACTTACAGTGTTGGCTTAAACAACATACTTAACCGGGCTACTTAGTACTCACGGGGGCGCAGACGTACCCCTTGCAATAATAACATTTCGCTCCCTTTAATCCGCGGCCTGCTGTTAGTCCTCGGCTAAGTATCTGTCCTACTCGTTCCCGGCATTTCCCGCTCCATCGGGCAAACCCCCTCCCTCCCTCCCTCCCTCGTCCCTCACCCCCGCGATTCCCGGGCGAAATCAAAACACGGAAAAGCCGATACAGTTTTGCGTAATACCCTCGTCAGGAAGTTCCTCGCAGTGTTTTCCAGCCACGTTGCTAAGAGCGGTCTTCCAGATGGGGAATGACGAGAAGAGTTGTTTTATGTACAAATTGCAATGGCAATAAGCTTAAGCGATTTTTATTCATTTTGTATTGACCGAAATCTGTTTAAAAGGATGCTATATCAAATCGGTAAACTGAAAATAATATGCTTTGTAATATACCTTGTAATTAATAAGCGGTATCGATTTTTCTATTTTATTTGTACAAAATTACATTAGGTATTCTTTTCTAACTTATATGTTGTATTAAGGTAAAAATTAAATTGCAATAACATTTAAATATTCTAAATTAATTAAAAAGAAATCGGAAAATTAAAATCGTCATAATATTTGTAATTTATTAACATGATTCTTTACAAATTTTAAACACGATGTCGCATTGTTTACTTTACGCGAAAATCCATGAAAATTTTATTTTAAGCAATTTAGTATACTTATCTCTTTGCAGCACATACATTGTCACGATGATTAAATCTCGTGTCTAATAAATAACTATTGTCCTTTATTTTGATTGGTTGAGTCGAAGAACAATTAATACATGAATGCGACGCAAAATGCCATTTCCTCGCAGCTATGGATGTCAAGATTGTCGCAAATTCTGACATTTCGCTAGATTCTACCGAATGTCATGATGGAAGCATGGGTATGGATGGGGGATAAGATAATGCGCGGTAGGCGGGGTGTGAGTCCCTATATAAGTTCTATGGAGTTAGTAGATACCCCGTCGGGCACAACATAAACCCCATAGTGCTAAGCGGCTTAGTACCTAGTAAGGGCACTGACGCCTGACATATCCATGTATACTCTGCTCCGGATACCTCACGATTCAGTATAGGCTTCCTCCGTAGAGACGCTCCGTAGTGAATCTTCGAGAACCTATGCAAATTTCACCTGAAATGTTTTATAATAGCAAAAGCTCGAAAGCAGTTACTTTTAATTCTGAAATATTTCTATGTACATTTGGTGAAAATCATATATATTTTTCCACGAAACTCAATATTTTCAGAAAATTGTTTGCAGTGACGATAAGTTTATAAAGTTTTATTTTATTTATCGCATAGAGTTTTGTTTAAACAAAAATTAATTTAATTTATATTTACTTATCATAAATGTTTAACATGTTTAATTCATCGAATTATAAGATTCTTAACACTATTATCATTAGGTTGATAATATTGCATTGTTTTGCAAGAAAAAATGTTAGGAGTGTCGGCTGCTATAATATTTTGTTTTTCCCATGAAGTTACTGCCGTCCCGTTATGGGGGGTCGTAAGGGTGGCGTATGACACACCCCCATTGAAGTCCCATGCACGGGATATACTTAAATTAAACGGACGCCGGTGTCACATTATGGCACAGAATAGCAAGTTATATCTAACCTCTCATTAACCCCGTGTGAACCTAGATCGGGACCCCACGTGAAAATTGAGACGCCGATTTTCGAACTGAAAATCTGTAGAGGGGTGTTTCATTACGGGTTACGGCGAGACGCGAGTGACATTTTAAGCAAACTCCTATGTACGAACGATGGGAACATTCGCATTTTTCTAATCTTTCATCAGTGACGTTTTGAGAGTATGTATTCTGTGAAACAAAAAAAATCAATCAATCAATATTATAGAGTTATCGATGTTACAATTAAATTGAAAAAATGGCAGTAATGAAAAAATTTGGCGAAGAGATAAATTGATTATGAAATCACACGATATCATAGATAAAAATACTAGCTTGCCGCTAACTACTATTGAGCCGAACCGCTCGTAAAAATGCTGAAAACAGATCCCCTTAACCAAATAAAGCCCTTACCGCGTGACGATCGATGTTACAAATATTTGTTGATTTTTCGGCACTAGCCGAGGCGAGAGTAAATAAATCAGAGCGCGATTCATCGGCGCGCGAGCGAGTGCCATTCCGCGTCATCGTTGCACCATTATTCCGCGACGCCGATGATTCCCACAATGCCCACTTTTTTTCCATTTCACGCTTTTCCCCGAGTCCTTCTCGGGCCCTTAAGCAGCTAAGAGCCCATGATCCGTGATCGGCGTGGCCGGAAGAGGAGATCGAGCGCAGGACCGTGGCGAAAGCCTCGAAAACTTCTTTACCGCAACAATGGCGTGCGCCGATTTTAAAAAGATCCAGCGAAGATTTACCGTCATTTTCACACCTCCCCGCGATGTCGGGCCCATCGGATCGACCTAAGACCTACAACAAATACCTGATGGGCGTAATCTCCACCGGGGCTCCACCGTAGCGGGAGGACCCCTGCGCCGGCCCCATTATGATATTCGCGGTATTGTCGGGGTGTCGAATCTGTCTACAAATAACCACTAGAGAAATGGTTACTCAGTCGCTACTCTCTTTCGCTCCCCGGCCCTTCTCTCCGTTTCGTTCCCTTCGACGCGCGCTCTTGCATCTCGCTCGCTCACTCGCCTCGCTCGACGTTCATCACCTTTCGCCCCTCGCCATCGCTCTCATTCCGCGTCTCTACCATTCAGAGTGGACTACATTATTTCGTTGTAAGGCCCCGACCACACCGCATTATCCTAAACATCTAAATCCGGACAGCTGGAGCCCAAAGTTAGCGGCTCTCAACTAGAATATCATGTAGACTTGGAATCTCGCGTATCATATATGGATTTTTATATTAAATTATACATATATTTTTTTAAATAATTAAGAGATTTTATGTTTTACTAACTGTTAGGTAAATAACGTTTATATAATTTTTAAGATCTAATAATATCACGAAAATAAGTGTTTTATGTAACAATATATTTTTATTGCGACATTTGAATAACTTACTGTTATAATCACTTATATTTTCCTGCATTAAAATATTTGCTTTAACATTTCAACTGGTTTTAAGTTAAAGAATGGAAAGCGATCGAAAGTGTTTCGCGATTGTTTGTTCCGAGCCGCTCTCCTCTCGAGAGTTTAATACTGTCCTCTTAACGTTAACCATGAGAACCACTTCCTAATGAATGCGCCAGAGGTGTCAGAGCAGCAACTGTCAAAACACGACCGGCAAGACGGCGACCGTGCCATCGAGTGCACGACGGAGATAAACGATAGTAGAGCGAGGGTAGACAGAGACAGAGCGGACCTTTTCACGCCATATTGGATGTACCTTGAAAACGGTGCACGCCACCGAAGCCTATCGATAATCGCGACACCCATCCCTTTATTCCACCGTACGAAATTCCTGCGAGCGCGTGTACGTTACACACATACACAACGAACAGTTGTTCCGGGCTTCTGACGTAACGTTTTTCAATCTCTCTTTCTCTACGGCCCTTTGAAAAGTTGTTGATACGATCTGTTAGTCAAAATTCATGTTTTTCTACAAATAAGTTAGACGCTCACAAGACTCGCTATTTATTTTATTTAAGAATTCCGGTTTTTTTTCTCTTAATGTACATATTATATTGCAGAATGGATCTTATAACTTTTTCAATAGTAAACTTATATGTTTAAATTCGATCATTGATTGATACTGTTGTGAATTCCTTGATCAATTAGAAATAAATAGTTAATATTTTTTTGTAAATTTTATCAATACTTTCTTAATAAATAAAATCACATAAATTAATATCTTTCGAAATTTAAATTTCGCTCGATTAATTGCTGCAACTGTATGCCAAAGTTATTATTTTAAATTCCTCTTGTACAACGCTTGTAAAAGAGAGAAGAAAAGATTTAGCATACCATAAAAATAATACACCGCCGCGTGACACGGACTCCACGATTCCTCTTAAAAGTCACCGCTTGAAAGCCGCCGTGGCGAGTCGAGAGTCGTCTACGTAAAAGTCCGCGTATCGCTTCATTCCCCGCGTCCCGACGGCTCCATCTTCGCGTCTAGAAATCTACCCAGCTGCCGAGCACCTCCGGCGAAGGGGAAAGACGGGGTCGACGTGCGACAGAAGAGGAGGAAAATACGGTGAAGTGGGGGCAGGAGGGAGCGAGAGAGAGAGAGAGAGAGAGGAAGTGGCCGCATGTGGAGGCATCGGACAGGGTGGAGTCGACGTCGAGAGAGAGCTTAGGCGTGCGCCCTGGGCATATCGGCTTTTCGGGAGAGTCTTGGTCGATGTTCTCTGGTTCCTGGTTAACCCGCGGGATCGGTTACAAGGCAATGCGGCCAGGCGATTGGTTCATATTGTCAGCGACACCCGCCCACGCTGCGTTATCGCGCAACTACTCTATCTGTCTGCCTCTTCACCGTTTTATGCTCTCTCTCTCTCTTTCTCGCTCTATCCGCCTCCTCTCGTGTTTCGCCGTCGGTTTTATCTGCCCATTTGCCTCTCTCTCTCACTCGCCGTCGCACCGTCGCTAATCCGTCCTTCCTTCATCGCGCTCTAACTCCGCATTTCGTGCTCGACTCAGTTCCATCGACTCGCTTTTGACCTTCGACGAAAAAAGATCGTCTGGACACGACTCTAAGATCGTTAACGGCCGATGACTCCGCAATTTTTCGACGGCCTGGCGTGGAAGCGGCGTGTGACGTGCGAACCTGTGGGAAGTACGGGCGATTTCAGCAACGGCGCGCTCTTTCTCGCGCGGTATCGTTTTAATCGCGGAGCGACACGCGAACATAATGAGAAATTGCTAATGAGAGAGTCTTATAAATAAAGTAATGATTAGAATTCCGGCATACACACACGCGCACGCACGTTTTTAATCCTTAGAAATATAATACATCGCGTATGCCGTGCGACGATACGAGGAACCATATGCCGGGCTGAGGTTGTGATAGCAATTTTATTATCGTGTAATCGCGTGTATGTTCAACATTGTAGAATCGCGCCGCGTAAATGTTAAGCCATTTTAATGCGTCGATGCGTTTAACACATTCCGTGGATTATGCGCGAAATTTGCCACTCCGTTTAACAGTCAGGACGGGACAGGACGTATAATGGATACGATGATGCGGACAAAATACTCATGATGGTTCATTGTAATGTCATAATAATCTGTTAATATATTTTCGCGCGGTTGTGTATGTACAGGCGCAAATAATAATAATATTAATATTAATAATATTAATATAATAATAATGCTTCATTTCTTCTTCATATATTTATATATGTATAATTCCGCATCGATAGTCTTTAGGTAAATTACGTGTTTTTACCTATAGCATATATATATTTATGTATATTATATATGTATAATATACTGTATAATATGTTCATATTTATAAGACGGATTATACAAGAATTTCGCTAAACGAGTCTATCTACAAAGAGGAGGGCGAAAGCGTGAGGTTTCTATCGTCTCGCGCTTAATAGGATCGATTGGCCATACTCGGCCTCGAAACTCTCTTCTATATTCTTTTTTTTTTATTCCCGGAGTGACGCAGGTCCTTCCCAAAGAGCCAGGCGATTAATGAAATATACAAAGTCGCTAGTTTCTACTTAGTTTAACGGGAAGGGAATTGGCGTAGGGAGGAGAGCGTAAATTGGCTTGTTTGTTTTGAAGTTCGCACTTAGCCATTCATCTACAGAATAAGTCGCGTTTTTCTCTCGTTTAGACTCGACTTGACTGTCATTTTATTTAGATTATCAAGATTTCTTACTCTCTCTTCGTAAAGGAGATTACAATGATGTGTGATACAGTAGAATACATTTACAATCATATTACGAACGTAACTAAAGTCCCAAAATAGCTTTAAGATATCACAAATTCATGAAGTAAGGAACTAAACATTATAGCCATAAGAATATATTTCGTTGTGAATTTTAACGTATTCATAAAAAAACTGAATAATTGAATTAGCGTGATTTAGAAAAATATAAAAAAAAACCACAAAATAACTTTTATGAAGAGATTTGTCGGATTAGAATGATCTTAATAAAAGCGGTTTTTTTGAAAAAAACATGCGTAATTAGCGCGGAAAAAATGAAAGCTATTAAGAAAGAAGTATAATTGCGAGATGGGAGTGGACTTGACCGATAACCTCTGTGATGTAATTAATAATTTAGATGCACAATTATTATGCAGTTTTATTTACTTTGAAAAAAAAAACTCTTCTTGGAAATAGCAAATATTTTGCAACAGCCACGTCATTTTTCGATTTTTCAATATCGACGTCGCATGTCACGTAGTGGTCTCTGCCTATGGCTACATATTAGATAGTCCTGTTTGTCGTGCGTTAAGCGTTAGCCTACGACTCTGAGACCACTGCTGTAGCGAGTTCAACTTGGAGTTCCCTTGCGTTCTCGCTTCGTCGCCTTGTACATTGCCATTTGGACGTTTCGGCAAAATACAGGCTTTTCACAAAACAAGTTAATACTTGTGTAATAAAAGAAAGAAACTAATTAATTAAAAAAATTATGTATAGACCTATATAATGGTTTATATATAATTTTATTATATAAAAAAAATAAAAATTTACTTTTTAATCATAAACTTGTTTTTCTTTTGACATTTTTTAAGACATATTTCCAAACATGTTTTCGGAAACAAAAAATTTAATGATAACGAAAGAGTATTCTGTAAAATAAATACGTAGTCGCTTCTTTTGTGAAAATTCTGTATAGTTTACTATTCGACTCGATTCCGGAGACCATTCACGATAGGGAGTATCGGCTAGAAAGCGGCACTATTTACAGACTATGAAACTCACTGCATCTCGTTCTTGGGTTTCGCCGAACAGACGAGCCACTAATGTTTAACTATTGTTATATACACACCCTGACCATTCGATTTTTTACTTTTTCCGAATCTGAGAGATTGCACTTATTTAATTCGCACACACTTGTCCGCACTAGTCTCTTTCGCGTTTTGTAAGGGCGTATCGGAAACTGCTTCCTCGGGTGAGCTGTGTCGACAGCTCCATTGATCACATAACCAAACGGATTCTTCCTAAGATTTAGTGCAGTATCGCTTTCATATATTTTCGAGTAAAACTTCCAACAATGTTTCTACACATGGGTATCGTTGATTCAGCTTCACATATACATCGATTGTTTCTAAGCTCCTGGAATCTGCTCTTCGATGATGTCTAATTGATGTTGTCGCGGAAGAAAGCCATCTTGCTAGATATCGATTTATCTTACACCTATCTTCGAATAATCTCCGTGTAATAACTTCAACGTATTCATTGATCCTAGTCCATACGTCAATTTTCACAAAATTGCGAAATGCTCTTCAGCATCTCGCGTATCAAATTTACTGCACCGTTCACACTCAAAATTTTTTCTAGACACAACCGATTTTTCTTCGCATTTTGCAGTTGACTGGCGATCGATCTGTCATTCCATGAAAAACCTCCTTTTTCAATGCCAGATTGTCACCCGGTGATTAGCTCCCCCGCCTTCACAACACCTCGAAACGCTCGCTCGCGACGTCATCACACTGGTAGATCTTTCTCGACGTCAGACGATTGTCTGTGTCGACGGCGTCTTCCAATTCGTCGCCCTTATTGTATCACGCGGGCGAGAACGGTCTGTGGATTTGCGGTTTCGGATTCGGCGGCGGTGTGGCGACCCTTATCAGTCCCTGACCTTGAGATTGACCCTGAGGTGTCGGCTGACGAGGGGGCGGACTACCTCGGGAAGAGGGGGTGTGCGGGCTAGGTACAGCCACTCTCAGCGGACCCGTGACCGACAGATTCGCCGCCATCAATGGCGGACTGTGGGCCTCCGATAAGCTGTCCGACAGGCGAGATAACCCACCGTCGGATAGTCGCGACGCTTCGGATATCCTGGATATTCCCTCGGACAGCTGATGCTGGGGATGTGGGTGGTGCAGTAGGCCGTCGTGCGGATGGAGTCTCGGCGGCGGTAACCCCAACGGATCTGGCAATCTGTAATCGAAGAGAGAAAGAACTGCATTTTCTCTGGAGAAAATACAGTTTAGTAGAATCGCGATCTGTTATATACGACTTCTTGTTGTAATAGTAAATTATATAGATTTATTAATACAGTTGCACAGGGGATATTTGCGAATAATAACGCAATATTTATTTTATTATAATAAGAATAGCGAAAAGTCAAAATCGATTTCGTAAAAGGAAACATTTTAATAAGAAAATATTTCGAGAAGGAGCTCGTTACGACAAAGTCACATGCGAAACTTACCTCGACGCCGGATCACCCCTAGGTCCCACAGCTTGGAAAGGGCTGGACTCCGTGAACCTGAAAATCCCTCCGCCCGGCATGTTCGGATGATTAGGCTGCGGACTATGCGGTCCGAATCGGAAGCTCGTCGGTGGAAACTTGAAAGCCGTCGTATGGCCGAAGCGAAAGTGCGGTTGCGTAGGATCGAAACGGAAATTCAAGGATGGAGTTGGCAGAGGTCCGAGTGATCCGAGAGGGACCGGGGACGGTTGATGGTTCGGCGGCGGCGAGGAACTCGGCGACGGTGGCGATGTTCCACCGAGCGAAATGTCGGACTCCTCGCTGCTGCTGCCAGGCCCCGGGCTTAGATTGCGCCGCGCGTTTCCGTTCCCTTGGCCTGATTGTTGCTGCATTCTGCTGCAAATAACACGTAATTTGCAATTATGAACTGGAATTATCGGTACGACTGAGAAGATTGAGAATCAGGAAACAGTTGTTGTCGGATGAGACTTAGCCAATATTTTAGCGATAAAACGTAATAAAAGAATATGAAATTAACATACTCTGATAGAAGAGTGAAACGTATTATTTTCAAATTCTTTCTGACTAATATAAAAAAATTATGATTACAATGGCTATTGCCGAAAATTCCAAAAGTATCCACGATATATTATGCCCATGCGAGAGATTACGTTCGCACGAGCAGCGAATCTTCCGTGTCTAATTTTAGCAATCCCATCGCCTTGTTACGCGAAGTCAATGAAGAAGATCGTTAGCTGAAGAAAGAAGAACAAAAAATCGTTGACTATTTGAACTCTAGACTGGTCAAGCTCGCCGGCAGGAGCGGGACGGCAGGGAAGGCGCGTAGGTGTGCGAGTGTGGTCGCGGTGGGAATTTTAATTCGTTCCCGCTTAAGGTGGCACATCGCGGTGGTTGTACACGTGGATGTGCGCTGAAAACACTTTGTTTCCAGTCATCGCCGCGAAGAGCGCGGTCGTAATTAATGAGCGCGCTCATCCTTCCCAGGTGAGGAGGCGAGGATTCACGGGAGAGTAACGACGATTCCCGACGACGGCTCTCGCATAAAGGAGGGATCCACCTCATTACTCGGCAGATCACGGATAGATACGGAAAAACACGGTAAACTTCACACACGCGCGAAATGACGGATGACCGTGCGTAAACACAACCGTGTGTTCGGCGCGTTTTGTTCGGCGGAAGGGTATTATGCCGCGATCTACGCGTATTATGCCGGGGCCTAAGAACCGTGGGCGTCATCTAAGCGGTAATTAAAGGGTTCAGATTGTCGCGATATCCCGATTGGATTAACTCGTTAAGACGCGAGAACTTGCGAGGTCGCAAGATTACAATCTTGGGAATCGGCCTTATCGAATCGCGGCCGATCGATCGCGGAATTCTGCGATGGGAAAGCGGACGTTAAGGTTACGCGTGATGAGCAGCCGGAAGTGGCGGAAAACGGAGGTCGACTCGATAAATGTCCTCGAGAGAGCCCGTTACTTCAGGAAGGGAACGATCGTGTTTATCGCCTATCGACGATTGCGATTGCGAGGGAGGGAAAAAAAGAATCGCTCCCGCTTGGAAATACAAGGATGAAGAGCGCTCGCGAGAATCGTTCGCCATTCTGCTAAAGACAATGAGGCGTCGCGGTCGTCTTAAAAGCCTCTCGGCCGCAAATCGATCCTGTAGCGGGGGCTTCCGAGATCCTCTCGTATTTTCTTTGCTAATCGAGTCTCGAGTCGGGCTCGTACTGTTACCACGGTAACGCCTTCTCGAGAGGCGGAAACGTCGAATTGTTCGTTCTCTCTCGCGATCGGGGAGAAAAACCCCGATTGCGACGAATGGTAACTTCGAAGCGAACCTCTCGCCCCCGAGAACACGTTCGAGATGCAGGTCGATCTTATTCACGATATCCGTAATTTTTAAACTTTTAGCTTCTACTGAGAAAAACAGTAAGATTACATTTTTATTACTGTTACACCGTTTGGAATTTTCTAACGTTTTATTAAAACTTACATGCTTGCCTTCAATGTACTCAAAATAGATCCCGTAATTACTAGCGTTCTACGAAAAAGACATAAAAAGTCTTAGTAAGAGGAAAAAAGAATTAGTGCCGTTTTTCACGAGCCTTATCACGCTCGGAATACACTCTCGCTTAAGGTTATTTAATTAACGCCACGAAATGCGTCTTGCATTTTATGATTCTACGTGAATATTCATGCAAGCTCGCTTTTCATCGCGCCTAATGGCGTACTCAGATAGATTAATGTGACACGTCGACGCAGAGGCGAATCCTTCTGACGATGGCGCTGAAATAATCTCTCCGATCGTAGCACCGCGACTGGAGAGCTAAAAAGTACGCGGTGTGTTAATCAGATGAAATAGCGTCATGCTCTTGCCAACGCAATCGGGGCTCGATCGTGGCTGAATTACACTCGTGAATAATGAAATAATCGTCCCTGAATACGCGCCGTTTGATTTTGATTTTGCGCCAGCATGGTCATGGCACAAAGACGAGTGGAGTTATTAACGCGTAACTCAAGATCCGCTATCATGTGGAATCGAACTCCGCTTTATCAATTACGTTTTTAATTATCTGTTCATTTGTCTCTCCTTTGTGATCTGATATCTGTTCCTATACATTTATCTTCTTTGTTTCATTTTCGCTAGTATGCAGCTCTCGATATGTGTATAATATGTTGTGTTTCTTTAAATATCAAATTTCATTATTTTTTTTTTGCTTTATACGAGTTCAATTTTTGCATTTTTAATTTTTTTTTTTTACTTCTTTTACTATCCTTTCACCCACGCTCTCACCTTTCTCCTCGCCCTTCAGTCACGTTTTCGCCTGCATACGCGAGACTGCCGACGCGTTTTAATTATGCTCCTGGACCGCTGGCCTTTATCTTCGTCCTTTCACGAGATACCCGCACGAGGCGGCACGACTTATTATGTGCCAGGGCCTTCCGTCCCGTCCCACACGATATTCCACGGCGATCGTCCCCATTGAGATCGTCTTAGTGTCGTGGCATTAAAGCGCGGAGACTCGGGTGTCAATTTTTCGGCGTGCATAAAAGGGGCATTAAAGCTCCGCGGTCGAATTTCGTTGCACCGTGTAGCGCCGTGGTCTGTGCTAATTGTGTTCTGATAGGCGACAAATTGAAAGATTTCGATACCGCAAGGTTATTCGTATCGATACAATGACTTTTTTTTTATTTAAATGGTCTTTTATATTGAATTAAAAATTTCGCGTTAACACAATTCTCAGCCAAATAACATTCTAAGTTTTAAAATATTAAACTAAGCAACTTGAGGAACCAAATTACAAAACAATACTTTTGTAAACATAAAATTCAAAATATTTTTCTTTTATATTTTGGAATATTATTTGTGATATTTATCCTTCAATTTTCACTCTTCAATTGCAGTGATTGCAGCGATCATACATTATTATTTAATCATCTTTTCTCTCTCCGATCACTTTATATATTTGCAGTGTATTGAATCAGCATGCCCATAATTCTTGCTTGGCAGAACTATTACTTATGAATTTACACATCTTCGTAATATCTTCTAAATATTTCTATGCACGCCAATAAGGGATTAAGCGTGGATCCGCTGGGGAACCAGTTGTAGAATAATTTACGATCGAATTATGCCGGTCTCCTCTCTTCGGCGACTAGCATTAAATTTTCCTCCCATCGGTGTTCGGAAAAAGATTAATGAAGCGTATGTACCATTATAATTACTACCTTGGCCAGTAAAACAGTAAACAGACTTTTTGCACACTGTCTTAGCGTTGATAACCTCGTTTACGAAACAATACAGCAGCTAACATAATTTTAATGATCTAGAACAACGAAAGTGTTTATGTGCGCGTTTATGCGCGTAGACATAAGTTGTGGAAAAGTTAACTTTTTTTTCTGACGCTTTCTGTCATATATTTCTTAAATTTTTTATAGAATACAATGGCTTCATTTGGAAACGAAGTTCTGTTAAAAAGTTTATCTGAATTGCGGGTAAAGACGCGCAACAAACTCGATTCGCTTCTTCACCGTTCGCTCTTCTGCGTGTACTAAAAACGATTTCGTACGCACTTCGTTATGCATTTACGCGGCCGCTCGCGCGTCCGCTCGCGCGAATTCGCGTGGCGAATCGCAGCGCCGAAAGAGCCGCGCGATGGCAAAGGCCAACAGGTGACGTTGTACTTTCGGCGCGAGACGCGGCGGTGATTAAAAAAGAAATTCATCAGCGTGCCGGGGGAAAGTATCAGGTGCAGCAACGGCGTAGCCGCGCGGCGGCGGCGGCGGCGGCGAGGTGGAGGACGGTGCGCCGCCGCCGTTAAAGTATTTATGCCGCATGACGAGTCACTTTTGGAATCCCGCCGTATATTATAAAGTATTATGCACGGGGACGATGACCAGGGCTCAAACCGTGACGGAAGCTACTGTAATTACGCGCAAGATGGTCGTGTTCGGCGTTGGTAGCTCCCATTGATCCCCGATCGAGAAACACGCGGTGAAAGGTGCGCGGCTTTTGTCCCGCGAGCCCCGGGGAGACAAGTGTCCGGCTTTATTCGAATTATTCGGAATTACGCTGAGAAATTGCGTTGCCGTCGTGTCTTCGTGATTCTAACTTCAATCACTGTGTATACGTAACGCGACAAGTTTAACTCCGGTGTTAATATGAGCGCTGACAATGAGCGTTCTTGAAAGACCAAGAAAGAGAGAGAGAGAGAGAGAGGGAGAAAGAATGTGAAAATTAGCATATAAAATGATATGCACATATGTTTTTTGTAATTATCACTTTTTACTATATATAGAATATTAACTGTTGAACTTTGATCTCTTCTAAGTTCACAGTAGTAAAACGTGTTATAACAAGCCGATCAACGCCAGCGTGTTTTTCGCTTTTCTTTCGAGTTGAAATCATGACATTGCGGAGCAAATACCGCCCCAATCCTTCACCACGCGAACAAGTTTCTACGATTTCTTTCATTTTTTTCTCTCTCTCTTTCTCTCTCTTTTATACGGCGCAGTGTAGAAAAAGAGCGATCGATTTCAGTCCGATATCGCGAGCAGATCTATCTTAAGAGCAGCGAGAGACTGACGAGGGATATCATTTTAACAGAATCTACCCCGTGTCAAGGGACACCGTGGATTTCGTGCGTGGTACGAGACCGACCTCCCCGACCTTCCCCTCCCCCTTTCGACCCCTCGTTCGGACCAACCCCGTGCCGATGCTAAATACCCGGTGCGCACAATGGAGTACATATCGTTCGAGAATCTGAGCCATGCGAAGTCCTCCACAAAAGGTAACTGGATACCGGTACGAGGAAGAGACGGCATGTGAACAGAGGTCCCGCGATTTCAAGGGAGGCTACTGCGGACCCCCCTCGTGTCTCTTTTGCTCTCTCTCCGTCGCTGCCTGTCGTTTCGCCCTCGTTTCTCAACTTCTTTTTTCCGATGCTAGCTCATTTTTAATAGCCGCTAATAGAGACGTTAAAACGATACGGGCCCGCTTGCTCGACTCGGAACCCGATGCTCAATTCTTTTCTCGCTATCGCAGCCCTCTTTTTACTCTCTCTCTCTCTCTCTCTCTCTCTTTCTCCCTTTTGCTCGCTCGCTGTTATCCCGTTCTCTGTGCTTGTGTCTCTGGAGAAAAGCGCGACGCATTCTGACGCGTTTCACTTATGGTCATAAAATGAGCAAACAACATAAGTGAATATAAGATTGTTGTAAAAGAAACCTCTTTGACTGATTGACAGTTTGATGAAGTGATAAATTGATGTTCGTCTGAAATACTCGTGGAAATTATTTGCATAGTTCAAATAAAATGATAATCGAGTTAAAAATAATTTCTCATTTACATATTTTCCATTTTAAGAGAAGAAAATAATATATAATTATTGTAAAAAAAATATTTTTCATAAAAGATTAAAAAACACGAATTATCGGATAAATCGCGTTTTATACTTTAGATCAAATAGAACGTTATCACCATCGTGCGAAACAAAGTGCCTACAAAGGCAGCGGCGCATCCGTGCAACTTTATCACGCCATCCTTTTCCCACCCCGAGGTTGCATTAGGCGGATAACGCCGCTTGAAACAAAGAAGAGGTCTGCTCGCGCATTACGCCGGAGATGTTCGAAGTGGCAGCGCGACGAGCGAAGCGGCACCAACGGACAGGTAGCCCATGATTTGCAACATTTTTATCCGGGCCAACATCGGGAGACCGTCTCCTCGCCGCAACATGGCGACGGAATACATCGCACCGACGAGTAGAGTGGCGGTTTGCATTTTCTGACCCGGACAACAGAGAGTCCCGAGTTGACAGGCCGATCCTTTCCGTCTTTATGTCGCCTTGTCTCGGGAGCCCCTGAGAAACCGAGCAAATGTTTGCCCGCGAACAAAGAGTATCCACTGACGTGGCGACCTCACTTGTTCCGCCGTCGCGCAGCCAGCCACCGCGGGGCTCGATATATGTTTGCGAAGATTTTTAAGTGCACACCGCGACGCACCGGCCGAAAACCGATACCCACGCGTCGTCTCTCGTCTCTCGTTGCGGTCGTGCTTTCACTTTAGGCGAATTTCCCGTTTGCTTGGGACGGCAAGCGTTTTTCACGACCGCATGCTTCCTAGAAAATGAGAATTTATCTTATAGAAATCAATATTCGCACGACTGCATGATATTTTTATTGCTACATATGTATGCTATTTAACTACAATATATTAACGCCTTACATTTGCATTTGAAATTATAGACGTGGCTACAATGATTGACATTACCTTGACTTACTTATATTGAACTTAATTATCTGACGTAAGCCGAATAGTATAATTTATGATATGTTATCGTTTGATGTATAATTAATAATCGCGCCGTACGACTACTAGAGCAGTCCTGGGTTTACGTCATTGATTTGTATACCGTGTTGAATTTAATATAACTCTAATTATACGTTAACGACGGCATGATAGCTATCATATTAATTTTGTAGTCCATTAATCTGTATATTACACTAGCACTGACCTTGGTATTGAAATAAACGTTCTAGATTTCACTTTGACGATAAAATAAATATTGTCAGAAAAAGATAAGTGAAGTGTTAAGTAATAATATCTGAGATCAAGCCAAATTATTTAGAAAATGCGAATGCAATTCTACTTAAAAAGAATTATGAACTTCAACGAGATGCAGATTTGAGTTCCGATACGGCGTATTGATTTTTAAATTTGCCATTGCGCGGTCTCATGATGATAGTCATATTGCATTAGCGAAATAGGCATCGCGCGTCTCTTTCTCTCTTTCTCTCTCTCCCTTTTGAAAGACGCGCTCATTGACTAGAGACGACGACAAACATTTTCCTACAGGAGCGTAGACACGTCGAGTGTTTGCCCAGGCGTTCGTATGAGGTACCCGGTTCCCGCGCGCGGGACATTCTCCGTGGGAAAAATCTCCGAAAATTAAATCTTTGCTCCGGTATTTTACAACGAGGATATG